ATAGCTTCTGCCATTACCTCTAAGATGTTCCTTGATCAGCAGGACAGCTGGGTGGTGTTGCTCCTTCAGCTGCTGGCAGCAAACTTCTGCCCCAGCCCTGAAAGCCGGGATCTGAAAATGGCCGCCTCGTCAGGGCTGGCATGCACGCCCACTTTACCCCTTAAAATGGTCACTGTGGGAGGCTTTCCCTGCTTCCCACACAGCAAGCTCACTCAGAGCTTGCAACAGCCCTTAAGTGGTGAGCACCCTGGTGGTGCTCCACCACAGGCTCGGCCACAGGCTGCCACCCTTTGAGTAGTGCAAGGGAAGGACAGCGCCTGTGCTGTTTCAAGGACACATCTTAGATCTTGAAGAGTGCTGAGAGTTGGAACAACAAAAGCTGCACTGGACCCTTGGGGCTGTGTTGCCGTTACTGGGGTCTGTATCCCCCGGATGAATAGATATTGTCTGAACAGGACCCCTGGACCAGTTCCATCCCTTCAGCCAGGATGGGGAGAAATCAAGGGCTAGAGCAACTCTTGCATTTGTATACGTCAGACGTGCTTTGCAAACTCAGACTCAGAAGAGGCCGGTGACGGGTGGCCCTCATGTTGTGGGAACACTCCATGTCTGAAGTGCAGAACACACAGTGAGTATTGGCCACAGTGTCATAGAGAGAGTGTGTGTGCTGAGGGCAAACAGCCCACAGAGCTACTTGTATTTTTGCTCCTGACATGGAGTCAGTGAGGTTTGGGAGGCAGGGCATATTTTGGGAGAGGTGGGCTCTAGTCCCAGCAGGAACCACTGCCATTTGCACCCCTATAAGCCATTTGGGGCAGGGCCTCTCTCTGGCTGTTTTCATCTCTTTGCTTCAGCCATGCTGATTACTAATGATGGGGCATATCAAAGGTAATGCAAATCCATCTCTGGGGTATTTTGTTAAAGCTGGGATGTCAAGCTCATCAGGTGCCATGGGCTGGATGAATGGTGCAAGGCCAGTCCATGGGCCTACCCTGGCCTTTCATGCCACATGAAGGATGTGCCTACCCCAGCCCCATGTGCTGCATGTTGTGTGCCCCTGCCCCAGCCACTTGCAGAGGGCAGTGCCAATGCAGCAAGCAGCACATGTGGTGTGTGGATCCATTCCAAGCAAGCTCCACAGGCAGCACCATGGGCTGGATGATATGGCTCTGAGGGCCTTATCTTTGATTCCCCCTGTGTTAAAAGCTAGACGGGTTGTTCTCAACTCAACTGGACTGGGCACCTTAGAGTGCCACAAGAACCTGCCAGGGGTGCTGTAACATCAGTTCTACACAGTGGCAGTTCTTTATGTTTGCAGCAGCATTTGTCTCCTAGCTGCTTCTGTCATGGGGTGAAACTACCTTGGACACCTCCATTTTTAGGAAGCATGTTGGAGCCAAGCCAGGAGGAGCTACTGAATAACATTTTCACTGAATAACACTTTCAGCTGCAGTCCCTTCTCAGTTTGGCTCTGACATGACCCCGAACACAGGAGTATGTGGGACAGATTCACCTGTCCTGTGCACCTATATTCCTAGGAGACACTGTGGAGGGTCAGAATGGGAAGGGCTGCTGCGTTCCTGCTACAGCCATCTTGTAATCTGACTCTGGAGGAGGTGTGCGGCATAGTTCCCCCTGGCCACAGTGGTGGTGGCAGTAGAGTTAATATAATCTAATTATATTAATAACTATCTAATCAATTAACATTTTAATTAGTAATCAGATTATAACAGGTATGTTATAATATTCACAGTACATTTATGTTAGTTTTTCAAATGGGGTGCTGCTGAATTCTGAAAAGTGTTGGAGGGGTGTTATCTCTTGAACCTAAAGAGGTTAAGAAGCGCTCGACTAGCCAGCTGCTCTACTCTTATGAACTTCCTTTAGCTGCCCTCCAATGAGTTGGTATGTATGGGCACCTGTACATGTAATGATGTTTAATCCTTACTAAATTATATAGGTTTATTAAAATTTAAATGATTTGTTTTAGTTTGATATGTCACTGTTTACAGGTGACAGTCTTTAAATCGAATTAAGCTCAGTCCGCAATTCACAGTAACTTCCAGCAGGGGGAGCCACATAACAATCCACTCTGTTGATCTCTTTGGTACTCAATTACAGCAGGGGGCACCAGCAAACCAGTAATCCCCTCACTCCCAAATGCCACCTCCTCCTCCCCCCAGCCCAGAAGCTGTGGCTGCCTGCATGGAGTCCCACAACAATCTATTTATGGAAAAAAACAGACCACACCCAGAAGGAACTTTATAAATTAAAACCTTTAATTAGTTAAAAAATTCTATAAAAATATAAATTATACTATTTTCTGTTTATTGCTTTATAAACATAAATAAATAAAAACATCAACCATAAACACACTTTTCCTCAACTGAGTGGGGCCAGCTGGATGGTGGCATTATCTTCTATCTTCTATTATCTTCTATCTTATTAGTAGAGAAAAGATAATAGAAGATAGGGAGAGAGAGACAGAGAGAACAACGAGGGAAGAAGAGAGAGAGAGAGTGTTTAGTGAGGGAGGCAGTGTGTGTGTTCATAGGGTGAGTCCCACAAGCACACCCCACCATACACATGCACCCACAACCCCACTCACACTGCCATACACACAGACCCCCACACACACCCCAGCCACCTTTCCCCCACACACAACCCATACCCACGCCCACATACTCCCTCACCCCACACCCACACCCCCAAACCTATCCATCCTCCCACAAACCCCCCCACACATACCAACACTGTCCCCACATACCCACACACCTACATCCCCCCACAAACCTATACCCACCCCCCAACCCCCACCTCCCCATAGTTTACAAGAGTAAGACTTCATTTTAAGCTATTGTGCAGTCACCTCTGTGTATACTACACAAACGCATGTAAATCAGGACAACAATATTTTTTTGAAATCAAGTTAATGAATGTTGTAGCTGTTTGATTTTTAGAATATAATTTGGTGTATTTCTGGTTCAAAGATGGTAAAACCCCTTGCTGAAAGGAGTATTTCTGGGGGCAAGGGGAGGGACTTCTGGTGGCAAACGTTAGGGGGTGGTACTTCTGGTCCCAAGATGGTGACCAGGGGGTGGGGCACATGTCAAGGGGTAGGGCTACCCATGTGGCCCTCGACAGCTTGCCAAAACTTGATAAGTGGCCCTCTGCCCAAAATAATTGCCCGCTCCTGGGCTAGATGGATACCTGTTGCAGAGCTACACAACTGACCCCCAATACCAAAGATGACATCGCGGCAAGAATCAGTGTCTTCCTCAGCGCATGAGTGGCATGGTCCTGCCCATCTCTGGGGAAAGGAAATGCAATGAAAAATAAAGTTATGAACCTTGTCCTGCCTGTGTATATGCTGTGCTGATGGGAACAAGGGGCCAGGGTGGTGCTGTTGTGCTATCCCATCCTAATACTAATCCTAATCCTACTCAGGTCTTCATTTAGCACTGTCATACCCACTGAGGAAAGAATTGACCCGATATTCCTAAAGAGTGCAGCCGCCCTTAACGGTTCTGCAGGCTCACAGAACACCATTTGTCGGGTTTTCTGTAAAAACTCCACATGCCTGTGTGGGTTGGGGGTGTGTGGAAAATTCAGCCACAGCACACCAAAAAGGGATGTTTTAGTGGAGGGGACCAGTGGTTCCTCAAGGCCTCTGCTTTCATGCAAAGTCTGGAGAGCTATGCTCTGCTGACATTTTCTGCAATGCAACGGTTGCAATTTCAACTGGCTCTAGTGAACACCATGCTCAGCAGACTTGTCACCACTGCTGAGGCTTCTGGGGAATCATACTGAGGAAAAGAACCTTTGCTAACCTCAATGACCCAGACACTGTGACCCATTGACCCAGACAATGGTAGCAGGGACCCCAACCCAACCACCATCTCGCACCCCTGAGCGACTGGGACTAAGCATGCTCCTTCCCTGGCATTGGCTCAGGCAGAAGCCTCGAGTCTGACTTATGCCTGGTCAAAGTAAAGGGTGGGGGGTTAACACAGGGCAAAGTAGCTCCGATGCCTGCAGCCGTGGAATCCAAAAACCTCATGTTAGTTTAAACAGGAAATGAAAACGTGCTCGGGAGTCTGCTCAAAGCAGAGAAGCAGTTATTAATGTCATACTAGTGTCAGATTAATGCACAGGCACAAGCGGGCTGGAACCTGGGGTTCTCTTACTAATCGTGATCCGCCTGGAGTTGACAAAGAGGCAGCATGAACTTGGTGGGCATGCTAGCTGCTGTCATCCATTGCGGGCTGCTGTCATCTGTGGTGGGCAATCTGTGAGCCTGCTTGAGTGTGAAGTGGACTTGCTTTATGAATAGTGGGTCATTTCTGTTGTGTCCCTCTGATGGCAGGAATTGGAATTGCTTTTGTTTGCAAATGTGCTGCCCTTAGCTATGGAGGGTCTCATGGCAGGGCCTGTGTTTTGCATGCAGGAGGATCTGAGTTCCCTCCTGTAATTTCCTGCATGCCCATAGCAGCATGCACTGATTTGGGGACAGTGCCCTTTTACCCCTGAGCAGTGGAGCTCATACAGGTTTGGGTTCTGGCCTGTTGCCACCCCTCTACATAGGCATGCCCCTAGAGCTGGGATGATCCTCTCCTTTTCCTGCCTCCCCTCACCTGCCCACTAGCAAAGCATACTGTGGTTCAGCAGTGAGAGATGCTGGCAGCCTTGTGCCCTTGCTGGATCCCAGCTAAGTGCCTGCTGTGTCCCATTGCTCACTAACTCTGCAGGGCAGAGCTCTTGGGTCTGTTGTCACTTGCTCTTGCTTCACACCAGAGTCAGTCATGAATTACACCATGTGAGGAGGCCAGAACTGGGACCACAGACCTGAGGAGGAAGTCTTGACTCTGCATATGACAAGGGGGAATATGAGACAGGCTGGTGTCTGAAAGCAGCCCTGGAAGAGGAGGGGGATCTGTTTAAAGGTCAGTGGCTAGTGGTCCAGTATGAACATAGAGGATGTTCTTGCTTTGACTCTCCAGGGCTTTTAACTACAATCAGAAGAGCCATGGCTGCCAGATGCTGCCCTGGACCCAGCACTCAGCACATACCCAGTTGCAGAGGAATGTCTACTATGACCTCTACCAGAAGAAGGGTAGGTGGGCAGCAGGGTATGGCAGGTAAAGTAGGGGCAGGGAGGCATGGAGGGAGCAGCCAAGGATGGAGGTGTGGAGCTTTCTCTTAGCTTGCATCTGAGCTGAACTGAAAACAAAGGGAAAGAACCTGACTTGACTTGAATGAGCAGTGGCTTAAACTTCTGGAATCAATGTTATCTATGTGTCTTGGTTTGCACCTGACACTGGAACAGCAGAGCTCCCTGTCTGAAGTCTGAAGCCACATGTGAGGCTGTGGAGGTGAGCCTGGGCTGTAGGGCAGTCTATGGCCTAGGGTAAATGATTCACAGTGGCAGGCAGAGAACTCAGCATGAGAGGGCAGAGCTAAGGTGATGCCTTGATGCAAGCTGTGCAGGCCCAGCAGGAACACTCCATTGCTTGGCCCTGATGAGGGCTTTGACATGGCAGCTCTTATATTAGTCTGTACTTTAAAGTTACTGCAGCCTTTGATCTGGCATCTTCAGAGCTATAGAGCTATTGGGCTCTGGTTTACAGCCACTGCCTACAAACCTATCTGTCTTGTCCCAGGGCTTTCTGGGTATTTTCCCCCTCTTGGGGCCCCAAACAAGGCAGCTTTGTGCTTCTGGGTAATGCAGCCCCTTGTGCCAGGGAAGACTGGTTGTACAGACTGTTCACCCCCCACATTCATTCACCAGTATCTGCCACAAACTTGCATATGGAAGGAGGGGAAGGTTGAGTCTGCTTGCTCTGGGGACACTGGGCCACAGATTTGGCTTTGCCTTGGGGCAATGTGAAGGGTATGTGTCCCAAGAGCTATGTGGCTGCTGTCCCCACAGACATGCTCAGGTTCTGCACCTGTTTTGGTTCCCACAGATTACATGCGGGACTGCATTGTGGGAGAAGGCACAAGTTATCGGGGGATGCGGTCAGTGACAGAGAAAGGCAAGACCTGCCAGCAGTGGAGGCTGACGTTTCCCCATGATCACAGGTACTGAGAATGGGGATCTGATCTCTGCCTGGGGGGCTCTCCCACTAAACTTGGGGCCCCATGATGTCACTAGCCCTGCAGCCAAGTGCACAGCACACCTCACCTCTCCCCTGGGCATGTATCACAAGGGCTGCAGCTCTAGGTAGCCCCAGGATAGATGGTACTGCATTTGGAGATAGACAGGGCCACTCTGGCCATGACCGGTGCTGTACCTGTACAAGGGGCCTCTCAGACATTCTGGAGGCACCCGGGCAGGGCTTGCATTCTGCAGAGGGTGAAAGATAGCAGGTGGTAAGTAAAGGGCTATGAAGATGGTGCAACCCTGTGGGGCCTGGTTAATGGGCCACTGCTACTGCAGTGAGCTTCCTAGGATTGCATCTGAAGGCACCTGGTTTAGGGCCACAGGGCCATTTACTACCTGCTGCTAGACCCCTTCTGGGTGCACCGAGGGGAGCTATACCCATGTCAGAAATAACCTGGCTGGACATGACCCCTAATAACCTTGCTAGGACATGAGCCCCTCCCTGCATGCCCTGCTCTCTGTCTTCCCAGGTTCTCACCATCTCTGCAGAATGGCCTGGAGGTGAATTACTGCCGAAATCCCGATAGAGACAAACGGGGACCCTGGTGCTACACCACAGACCCTGATGTCCGGTACCAGAGCTGCAACATCAAGAAATGTGAAGATGGTGGGTAGAGCAGGCACAGAGCCTCCAAGCAGCTAGTGTCTGGGCAGCAGCCCACAGCACTCCCCAACAGACAACCAGAGTGACACAAGCCCTGACACACCTGCACAGTGTGGGGTTTTTCCCACAAACTTGTCTTTGACATTTGTAATTTCTGGAATCCTTTTGGGGCTATGGTGGCAAGAACTGGGGATGATCTGGACTTTATGAGGGTTAAGAGCCAGCATTTAGGTTTGCCAGGTGGTAGATGTGTGCTTTTCTTTTGCACTGCTAGCTTCTAGGCCAGCTTGTGCCATGTCTAAACTCACAGCTCTTTCTTGCAGCTGTATGTATGTCATGTAACGGTGAAGACTACCGGGGCTTTGTGGATCACACTGAATCTGGGCGGGAGTGCCAGCGCTGGGACCAGCAGCACCCCCATAAACATCCATATGAGCCAAACAAGTATGGAGCCCTCCTCTTTTCAGCCTAAATGGGACGGGGACAGGAGTGGGATTGCACAGCACAGGACCCTGGTGGAGAGAAGGATGCCCCAAGCCCCTTCTTCTTCCCTGACATGGGGGTAAGACCCTGCTGGGAGAAGCTGGCCCCCTGGGACATGGGCTTGTCCTTCTGAGATATGTGCTTTGTCCTTTGTCATGGACATTGGTGGGAGCACCTCCCTGTCACCAGCCATGCATCCACAGGCTGATGCAAGGATGAGCAGTGATTCACGCACAGGAATGCACTCTAAGCCACTACTCGACACAGCAACACTTTGATAGGGGCTCCTGCACTGAGATTCTCTGGGCAGCATGCAGCATCTGTGTTGCTTAGACAGAGCTAGTCTGGGGGGGTGCAGTGCTGTGAATCCCCTTCCTGGGTGCCAGCTGGGAAAAGGGAGCGTCCCAGAGGCACACTGATCATGACAACATTGCAACTTCTGGCTTTTTAAATCTTGCTGCTTCTTCCCTCCCCTCCCTTTTTTCTGGCACTTTCTTCTCTTTCTCTTCCCTCTGTTGGCCAGGTACCCTGATAAGGACCTGGATGACAATTATTGCCGCAACCCTGACAGCTCTGAGCGCCCCTGGTGCTACACCACAGACCCTGCCCGGAAGCGGGAATTCTGCCACATCCGCAAGTGCAGTAAGTTTGGGGCTTCAGGACTACCAGTGGTGTCAAGTCCCTGAGTGGGTGGGGCCAGGTGCTCTGACCCCACGGTGCACCCCCACAGTGCCTTGTTCCCACAACTTGAGGGAATGGCATGGGCTGTGCCAGCCAAGGGACCCGACTCAGTGTCTTAGCATCTAACTAGCCTCCATGGCTGGTGGGGAAAGCTTGACGCTGCCTTGTATTTAGTGTACTTAGTGAACAGGTGCCACTTTGAAGAGTCCTGATGCCAGCAGTGTATGCCACCACTCTCTATCCCTTGGGAGGGCACAAGGAAGTCCCTAGTAATGCTTTCCCCTTCCTGTGTCTCACAACAATAAAAACAGAAAAACGCTCACGTCTCATGGACATCACTACCAACTGCTTCAAGCAAAAGGGTGAAGGGTACCGGGGCAAAGTGAATGTTACGACAACAGGGATCCCCTGCCAGCGCTGGGACACCCAGATGCCCCACCAGCACCACTTCGTGCCTGAGAAATATGAGTGCAAGTAGGCCAAGAGCTCTTGCTTCTGTTTCAGAGTTATTAGAAACAGCCAGTGCATATAGGGCAGATAGCGTGTGTGTGTGTGTGTGTGTGTGTGTGTGCATGTATACAGGCAAAGGTGTGTTCACCAGGTATCACAGCCTGGGGGTGAGTAGGGGGACACCTGAGGGGTGAGGGAGCATGGTATAAAACTAGTGCTACAGTCAAGCAGGGTGGCCAATCCCAAGCCTTTTTTTTTTACTGACCATTTCCAAACTTTTATTGAAAAGCAAATTTTTTTTACTATGTTTTATGTTAAATCCCTAAATTTGAACAGTAAAGATGGACATATGTCAGTAAAAATGTTTGTAGATGGTCAGTAAAAAATGGAAA